GAAAGCAAAGATAGTACCAATAGTTATAGGCGCCTTAGGTGCGATCCCAAAATATCTGGAGCGCCACTTGAACTCCATCAGCATTGACAAAATCACCATCAGTCAATTGCAAAAGGCAGTTATACTTGGAACAGTTTATATCCTACAACAATACTTTTAACACCATCAAACAACATCTCCCTATCATAGGTCCTATCACAAGATATAATTGGGTTTCATCAGTGTACTGATGATAATGAACCCCAAACCAGAATATGAACTCACAGCAGTTTCATATAAATATTGAAAAAGAGGGGATAGAATAGAACCCTGTGGCATCCCACACAGGAGGGTCCTAGGGAGCGATTCTCCCCCCTGCCAACACCTGGAATCAGCCCTGGAGAAAGGAGAGAACCATCAGAAAACATTCCTCCCAATCCCCAAATCACAAAGCTGGTTCAGAAGGATACCATGGTTGATGGTATTTAAAGCCAAGGAACACAAAGATGGATACACCACCTCCATCCCAGCTCCATCACAGGTCATTGACAAGCACAACCAAGGCTTTCTCCGTACTAAATCCTGGCCTGAAACCCGATGGACTGATGTTAATGTCCTGCACTGCCAAATCAAACTAAGCCGCCTCAAGACAAAGAACAGATCTAATGTGCAGCCTCTGGTGTGCATCAGGATGTCAGTGAATTGGAACGGCTCCATGGTTGCCATGCAGGCCATGAACTCCTGAGCTGCCCCAGACTCAACATCCAGGTGACAGATTGAGATCCCCAAGGACCAATATCCTTGGGAACTCTACTGCCATCCCAGCAACAGAATCCAGCAGTTCTGGCAGGGATGCCGCTGGGCAGCAGAGAGAGTGGTCACCAGCAACAATCCCAACTGTTCCATTATGCCCAACTTTAGCTAGAGCACCAGTTATCTGCAGAACAGAGTCCTTGAAAGCCTGTAACAAATCGTGGGGGACAGCAGCCACCCCTCCTCCCCTTCCCTGGGCTCTTGGCTGGTGCAGAACCTGAAACATGGGTGGGCACATTTCCAAGTGGGGACATCTCAGGTCAGCACTCCTCCAAGATAAAATCATGGTTAAGGGCAGCTTCGTTACACACTGACCTGGCATTCAGAAGCAACAGCTGACGTCAACGCCATTGAGGATCCAGTTGTCAGACACTGAGGGTAGAAGCCAAGGGCCAGACGGCAGGACTGCATGTGACCCGCCCTCAGATTCTCACCATACCTCTCTTTGCCTATCACCATCAAGATGGCCCTGCCTGCCCTCTCAACTCCCTCCTTCCCACCCCCCTCCACCATGCTTCCTGCCCAGGCACACATATCCAATCGCGCCTCACATACACCCCACAAGACAATTCCTCTATAACCCAACCTGTCACACTGGAACTCGGTCATCTCCAAACACACCTGTCTCAAGGCACTCAGCAGTCTGGGGATCCAAGGGCCACCACAAGTAAGGAATCTCCCCACACACAAACCCCCCACCCAATTCCCTCACCCCCCATACAGGGTAGGCACCCTAATGATGACACCAGCTAAGAGGCCCAAGGCAGTCAGATCCAGGAGGCCAATGTCCAGGGGTGGGGGGGCACAACAGGCTGAGGGCCATCATGTCTACAAAGGCTGCAAAGTCCACCACACTAGTCATCCTCCACCACAATGCCAGCATCAAGGCCCTGACTGGGCTTATAGTCTTCACTGCAACTCCTCTTGGGCCCAGTGGGTAGGCCCAAGACATGGCCCTAATCTCACCACTGCAGTAGCCCAGACATACAGCCTCTGGCCTTGAGCACCCAGCACTGCCACTGTCCAGGGCCCAAGCGCTGCTTTTGTTTCTCATTGCCCCCACAGTCTTCTGCTTATTCCACAGCCACCAAATCTCATAGCAGCTTCCCAGCTCTGCCTCCATTCTTTTCCTCTCTTTCTCGGGCCTCCTGGAGCCTCAAAGGCCTTGGGTGTCTCCAGGACTTTGCAACAGACTAGAGAGCCAGTAAGTACCATAAAGGACCCCCCTGTTCCCCCCTTGATGCCAGAGGGCTCCCTCACTAGCTCAGTAGTCGGAGGGGTCAGCAAACCCACCAAAAAAAACAACAACACAGAAATGAAGACAGCATCCACACCAACCCCTCCTCAGCACCCAACCCACCCAGTCACTATTACCTAATCTCACCCAATGGCAGCAGGAATGGATTTTTTCCAATTTAAGTACTGTCCCAGAGTGTACTACAAATTATAATTTGATCATTTATTGGAATGCTATTTGTACGTTTGTCTCATCAGTGCTAATCTCTTTCTAGATTGTTCAAAAACATTTCTGTGGACAAAGATAATCTATTTGGAAAACCATTATTATTATACCAGCTAATCCCTGGTGACCAAATTTAACTAAATTAATTCTTCATAATAATTGTTCATAGCTTTCCCATATTGTAGTATTGCTGACTGACAAAAGATGTATGTGTTTTACAGTAACAATTAGCTAACAGAATTAGATCGATTCCTTGCTGCGTCAGTTTATAGGAAATATAAATAATAACCTAACTACAGAATCCATTGCAGGATATTTCTGGGATCAGATCAATCTGAAACATGTAAATAGATATTTGTAGAATAAAAGATAATGGAAAATAATGAACATACAATTACAAATTCTTGTCAATTGTTTTCTTAAACATTACACAGAATCAAAGCACTGCACTCAGTTGCCATAAACACTTATTGTTAATCAAAATGTTAATTCAAGAACCTCTTAATTGTACATTTGATCTTTATGTTGTCCAACAGTGCTCTGTTTAGAGGTAATATAAATAAACCTAAATAAAAATAGAATATTAATTAAAAGCAAATAGGATCCTTCCTTCAAATCAGTTATAGGTAATTGCCTCATGCTGGCAGTGAAAATACTGCTGAACAGATTTTTCTGACAGTGATTCTGGTAATTCAAGGGAATTTCATTTCTTCTACAGCTCACTGATTCTTTTAGTTCTAATATTAGTCCTCAACATTGCCCTAGTTAGGATGCTGATCAGAAATATCTTTTTCTATTTGTATTATGCTAGTTATATCCTATTCTTACTTGGCATGAATAATTCCTGCTTTATTCATCTCTGTGTTAAGTTACTGTAATGCATCTGATATGGGATTGCCTTTGAAAAAATCAGAAACTGGTCTAGAATATAGTTGACAAGGGTTACACAAAATACCAATCTTAGTCACAAAATAAATGTGAGGTATCTAAAACCCAGTGAAGTTTCTAAAAATCTAGCAGATTCAACAGCAGCTATAACAGGAGTAGCACCTCTTATTGTTTACAGTATAACTCTAACCTTTGTTTATATATTCACTGCTGTGATAAATTCATTTTTATTTTGTGTTCTCTCTATACTGCACTAGGTTCATCAGGAAAGTGTACATATGATTGAGGTAACAAGCAGGTTGATTAATGAAACGGTAGCCAATCACCCAGAGTGGGCCAAGTAAGTAATGCCATACCTGATAGGATATAAATGTTCTCTTGATCCTGATATTGATTATCCATGATTGTACCTGGCTGTGGAAAATGTAGGAAAGAGGTTAGAATTTATTTTTGCCTTTTGTTGAATTTTGAAAGCTTTTCAAACTAATAAGATATTGGCTTTAATGAGAAGAATACTGCTAGATTGAGAAATGTGTGTAAAAAACTCTCCTTCACTATTCCCAAATCATTGTGGAAGTTTTTGATACTGCCTCAGTATCAAATTACTATCTTACCACTATTGTTATGTTAAGTAAGAAAGTCATGTGTGCTAAGATTTCCTAATTATGCAGAGGGAATTTCCTTAAAAATAAAATTATTTAAATTCTTCCTTGGGTCTTAAAACAGAAAAGCTATCCTAGGTCAGATAATTATTCTATCTGATAAAGAATTCTGTTCTCATAGTAGTTGGTGATAAGCCAATAGGAGACTCTCAAGCAGAATTTTTTTACAATAGCATTTTCCTATTCATATTCTTAGCAACTCAAATCAAGAGGCATACTTCACTGGAAGAAACCATGTTTGACATTTTATCCACTTTTTCTGTGCCATGTATAGTCTGGTGATTTGCAGCATACAGTACCTAAGATTTACACAGTTCCTGTTTGTTCTTCCTTAAATCAATTTTTTCTTTAAGAAAATGCCAACAGATCTTGGTGAGCACCCAGACATGCATCAGAACAGCTTTTCCCCTTTAAATTTAGTTTGGGGCATAACTTTATATATCATTTTCTGAACTGAATAAGTCCCAACTTTTCTCACAACCACATTGTTCCAGTCCTTTTATCATTTTGATTGTCCTTTCCTCTACCTTGATAGCTCTGCAGTATCCATTTTGAGATGCACAGAGGACAGTTATACATAATATAATTTTCAGAATATCAACTGCTCTAGGAGCTGATTATCTTTTATATTGTTTTCTTTTTTTTTTTAAGAGAACTTGGTTTAATTTTTGTGGATTTTTTAATTGTAGACCAAATTGGACTTCTCCAGAAGGAAGGGCTGTATAGAAAAGAACTAATAGAAAATACTCAACATTTCCAAGTGTAGTTGCACCATTTGTTCACATAAAACCATTACAACATTTGCAGTTATATTTCTAACATGATATTTGACTTTCATACAACAGCCTCATATTAAGTCAATATTTTCCTGGAACTGTCCATCACAATTACTCAGGAGGTGTGATGGAATGGAATTATGAAGGGCGAGCACAGGGAGACAAACATTTTCTTAGCTTGCCAGAACCGCGTGGGAGGATCAAGAGGATGAGAC